GGTTGGAGTTGGGGACTGAGCGCTGTGGTGTGATTGGAGTTGGGGACTGAGCGCTGTGGTGTGGGTTGGAGTTGGGGACTGAGCGCTGTGGTGTGGGTTGGAGTTGGGGACTGAGCGCTGTGGTGTGGGTTGGAGTTGGGGACTGAGCGCTGTGGTGTGGTGTGGGTTGTAGGGGACTGAGCACTGTGGTGTGGGTTGGAGGAGGCTGGGTACCCCTCCTTCCCATCCCGCTGCTGCAGGCGGCCCCAACATTACGTTGGTCTCAAGGATCTAGAGCACACAGTCTGCCACAGCCCCCTGGCCTTCCTACAAGGCCCCCTGGAATGTGTCACCTAGCAGCACCCCCTACCCTGCCCCAAGTCCTGTCTCCAGCGATTGAACCCACAACAACCACTGTCTGCTATTTCTTTTTGCCTGGGGGTGGGGGGAAGAGCCAAGACCCAAAGATACAATCCAGAACTTCCAATTCTGCAGGGTCCGGCTCTTCACATACTCATCGAACATGTCTCTCATGTGATCAAACTGGCGCCGGGCCACTGGGACTCCCGTGGCGGGGAGAAGCTGCTGGCAGGAGCTAAAACAAGAGGACTGTGGCACTGGCGGCAGCCAGCGGGAGGGCCCTGGGCACTGGGCAGGCCTGGGCTGCTGCAGGGAGGGCGGGAGGGGGAAGAGCAGCGAAGTGCTCAACAGCAACAAGGCCACCCACAGCGCCCTGCCTGCAGCGGGCAGAGCCCGGGCCTCACATGATGGCGGCGTTGAGCTCCTCGATCTCCTCCCGCAGCCGGCGGGCCTCCTCCTGCATTTGGCTCCGCTCCTGCTGCAGCTTGGTGATGTACTCCACCGTCTTCTGCAGCATGGTGGCGCGGGTGGTCTGCAGGGACAGGTGCATCAGAGGGGGCCGCACACGGGGGACAGAACAGCCCCCCCCCCGCCTCGGGCCTCACCAGCTTGGAGTTATTGGCGATCAGAGTGTTGAGGGTGTTGAAGCCCATCTTGATGTTGAAGCGCCTCTTCTGTTCGGCGGAGATGTGCTTCATCTGCGGGGAGCCACATGACTGGGACACAGGCCAGGACTCAATGCCCGCCTCATCCCACGTCACAGCCCAGCCCACACCGCATGGCTAGACTGGAGACAGGCCAGGGACGGGGCAGCGCGCGGGGAGCACTGCCCAGCACTTTGGGGTCCATCCCATTTCTCACCAACCCAGAGCTCCCAGGGCCAACTCCCCCCTCTAGCTAGTGCTGGGCAGCTGCAGCCTGGCTGTGCAGGCTGTGCGAACTGTCACTCCTGAGACTCACAGCCCCATAGCCCGCCCAGAGCTCCCGGACAGGCCCCTCATCACAGCGGCTGCTTGGGGGACAGGGCCGTGGCTGGAGCGGTGCAGCCCAGCTCAACACCAGCCAGCTGGCAGCTCTCCTTTCCCAATGATCTTGGCGGGAATTGTGGCCAAGGAGAGATGCATCGTACCTTTAGTGCAGCCATATTTTTGGGGTCAGTAGATTTCCCTGAGCAGTTCTGGGGAGATTGAGGACTGGGGCTTTGTTCTGAAGCACACGGAGAGGCCTGCCCTGAGTTTGGACAGTCTTGACCTGAGAACAAAACAGACTCTCTAAGGGAACTCACCGAACGAGCCACCAGGCCAGGCCACCCACCCCGGTCCTCATAGAACAAGGGAACCCCAGAAAGTCCTCGGATGTTGGAAGCCTGTTTTGAGCTCCATGACTACCCAGAGGGAAAAGCTGGAAAACTCCTGTCTACATCCCAAATGCGCGTTCCTCCGCCGCGCCAGGCTGCGGAGGGCAAGCTGGACACAAGCAGAAAGCTGGCGTGGCCCCCACGGGGAGCCGTCCGCGCAGAGGTGGGACCGTGGGCCCAGTCAGCTACACCCCCACGAGCAAGGCACTAGTCCTTACCCCGGTGCTCACTGGGATCTCGTTTCTCTCTTTCCATTCCGGCCACATATGTGTTTTCATATACTTAGTTACCCACTCCTGTAAATGTTCAATCAGAAGCCCACCAACCACTGCCCTTTGGCCCACGCCGCATGTCGCCCTGTGCCTCCAGCAGGCTGAGGGTCCTGCAGGCTCCGCCTCCATCCGGGGCCAGGGCTGGGCGCCTTCCCAGCCCATGCGGGCGGGGCCTGGCCTTCCCTCCCGGGCCCACCTGCCTGCCTGGAGCGGACACTCACTGGGGCCTGCGGCGGGGGCCTGGGGGCTGTCCGTGTGCGGCGGGCCCTGCTCGCCCTTCACCCCCGAGTCCTGTGCGGTGCCTGAGGAGAAGAGGCGCGAGCTGGGAGCGGGGCGGCTGCTTGTGCTGCGGCTGAGGTCTGTCACAAGGATGCTGCTGTGGAAGTCGGCGACGCCAGGGGCCTGTGGGGACACAGGAGGAGGTCACTGGGCACTAGTGCACCGCAGGGCAGGGGAGGACCCTGGGGGGGGGGAGAAACAAGGCCACCTGGGCATATTCAGGCCCCTCCTCACCCTGGCGATGGTGGCGGGCGCGATGACCACGCTGGACTGGGACACCGTGGAGGCCAGCACCCCCTCCCTCTTCAGAGGGCCTGATGTCATGATCACCGCTTGCGGCTGCCCTGAAAAGGCAGCTGCCGGGACGAGAAGTGAGGGCGAGGCCTGGGCCTGCCTGCAGAGGTCTGGCCCGTGAGGGCGGCCGCGCCGCAGAGCCCCGCAGCACGGGCCTCTGCTGCCAGCGCGCCCGACGCGCTCTGCGGCGCCCCTTTGAGAGGGGCGTTCTGGACACTGGGAAGACATGCCCAAAACCACTTTTTTTTTAAAGTTAGTATATGAGAAATGGCTATTTGGCAAGAATCATAGACGTTTTTGAATTTTAAAACATACATCCTACTTTATATCCTACGGAAATGAGAAACATGTTTCTAGTTACTGTTAGCCAAATTATTTGGCATCATAGTTTGGTAATCTATTAAGAGAACAAGGAAAAAAAAATATTTTCTTTTTTGGTCAACTGTGGGGCTTGAACTCTGGGCCTGGGCGCTGTCCCTCAGCTCTTCAGCTCAAGGCTAGCACTCTACCACTTGAGCCACAGCGCCACTTCCGGCTTTTTCTGCTTATGTGGTGCTGACTGGAACCCAGGGTCTCATGCATGCAAGGCAAGCACTCTACCACTGAGCCATCCTCCCAGGCCCATAATACATATATATATACACACACACACATATACATATATATATATACACACACACACATATACATATATATACACACACACACACACACATATATATACATATATATACACACACACACACATATATATATACATATATATATACACACACACACACACATATATATTTTCCCTTGGTCATGGAGTTTGAACTCTGGGCCTTGAGCTCTTTAGCTCTACCACTCCAGCCACAGCACCACTTCCTCCACTTCCAATTTTCTGGTAATTAATTGGAGAGATAGGAGTCTCATGGACTTTCCTGCAGGCTGGCTTTGAACCGTGATCCTCAGATCTCAGCTTCCTGAGCAGCTAGGATTACAGGCGTGAGCCACCACTGCATGGTGAAAAGCGACTTGCTTTTAAGCTGTTTTGGACTGCACATGGCCGCCCCAGCTGAGCAGGGATGGTGCTGGGAGCCTTTGGGTCGGGGTTCCCTGCCTCCCACAGGCATGAACTCACCTGGAGTGAGGTGAGCGTTCTTCAACACCAAGGACACAGGCTCGGGTTTGTGAGCAGGCACTATTTTAGGGGGCTGCTTAGGCCTCCCTCCAGTCAAGGACACAGGCTTGGGATGAACGAAGGTTAAAAGAGGTTGAGGGGACCCGGTGGCGGGTGGCTGGGAGGCGGGGGACAGTGCCAGGCCGCAGGGAGAGGGCGCGGGGAGCGGGCGGCAGGGAGCGAGCACGAGGCCCTGGGTCTGGCTGAAGGAGGTGGCAGAGGCGTCGTGGGTCAGGGTGGCAGAGGCTGTGTACGTGATGACAGGCGGGGTTCTGCTGACCCCAACAAACTTCTGTGGCTGCAGGAAGGCGGGCGTGGCCGGGGGGGTTAGGGTAGCGGCAGGAGGCGGGGCCAGGGGCAGCGTGGGGGGCACAGGGGCCGGGCTGGGGGGCAGTAAGGGCATGGTGAAGACGGGGAGGAAGGGCTGCGGGACGCTGAGTGGCGGCGGCTCGGAAGGCCCAAAGTCTGTGGACTGGATGAAGGGGTCCTGGTTCTGGGCAGCAGGTTCGCAGCCCCGCTCCTCTGTGGCGTCCAGGGACGGGGCGGCGGAGGGGCTGATGAGGCTGTCAGGAAGGCTGACGGTGGGCAGAGTAGTGGCTGACAGGATGCTCCCCTGAGAAAAGAAGAGACGCTGGGGTCAGGGGTCAGAGGTCAGTGCCGAACCAGGCAACTCGCATTCACTGCACCACAGGCCACAAATCCTAACTGTGAATGCAGGAGCGGCGACAGAGCGACAGAGCGACAGGGCGACAGAGCGACAGGCGCCCATGCCTGTCGCTGCCACCACTGCCCTGCCAGCGCTAGCGTCCATTTGAAACTGAAGGACTGTACGGAGCGCAGGAAGACCGCACGGCTCCACACAGGTGGCCGGCAGCCTGGAGATATCTGGTTTCTAGGGTCCACTAAAGCTCCCCATAGTCCCTGCCGTCTTCTGTTACAGCAGAAGCAGCCTGGATCGCAGCTGCTCGGGAAGTTCCTCCAGAATGGCTTCAGGTATCAGCCTCCGGTCAGCCAGCTCGTCCTACGTGGAAAGGCCACCCGGAATCAACCTGCAGATCTCACACTACAGAAGAAACTCTTCCCAAGCCAGGTGGGAGAGGAAGGTGCCGGGTTACTGGTGACTAAGCTGATCCGGGCACCAGTCCCAGACCTTCCCCTGCGGGCAGAGAACCAGGCCGTGCACACCGGGCTCTGCAGTGCTAGCACCTGTAACCAAGTCTGGCTGCTCAGAAGTAAAAGAAGCATACCAAACTGCCGCTTTCAAAGAAGGCTGACCGAGGTGTTCGCGCCTCATCACGCGCTCAGCTCTGGGCCTGGCTACACCTGGCATGTGGCTGTCACTACTGTGGCTATGGCTGCGAAGTTGCCTGACAGCCCTGTGCCTGCTGCCCTTTCCCCAGCTTCCTCTACCTGAGCAGGTGGGCTGTTGGGGTCAGGTGCAGGTGTCGAGGGCGGGGCAGGCAACGTGGCGCCAAAAATGGAGCGGCTAGAAGAGAAGAGGTCTGCAAAAAAAAACAAGAAAAAAGAACTATGGAGAGTCTGATAAGCTCCATAAGCTCACCATGCCTGGAACTAAGATCCAGACAAAGGGAGAGCGAAGCCCCCTCCCCAGGCGCTGTCCTGGCCCGCGGGTTCCGGTGCAGACGGCTTTTTCCATAGAAAGACCCCTGCTAGCTCAGAAACACTGCAGGCAGACTGAACTCTGACAAGGGCAGAACGGCCTTTGCTGGACGGTGGCTGTGTTCTAGCGCCCTCTGCTGCTCAGACGATGAGAGCCTTCCGAGACTGCCACCTTCCTTCCAGAGGGAACATGCCTGCAAGAATTTCCCAGCCCTAGCCTGGCACCAGTGGCTCAAGCCTGTCATCCTAGCTACTTAGGAGGCTGAGATCTAAGGATCAGGGTTCAAAACCAGCCTGGGCAGGGAAGTCTGTGAAACTCTTATCTCCAATAAACCACTAGAAAACCAGCAGTGGTGCTGTAGCTAGCTCAAGCGGTAGAGCACTCGCCTTGAGATGAAAAGCACAGGGACAGCGTCCAGGCCCAGAGTTCAAGCCCCACGACCAACAACAACAACAACAACAAAAACAAAAAAAGGATTTCCCAGGCTTGGCTGTTACCACAAAAACAGCTGCGTTTTAAAAAAAATTCTAAGTCTTCCCGCAACCTATTCTGTCTTCTCTTTGAGAGGGGCCCCAACCTGCTCTGGGCCGGGCAGGGGAAACGCGGGCGCCATGCGGCCCCTGCCCCATGCTCACCCTGGAACGGCTCAAAGGTGTCCATGAAGTCCAGGTTGGGCTGCAGGGGGATGAGTCCCGGCTGGATCATGTCTGCATTCCCCAAATGCGCTGCAAGAAGAACCAGACAGGAGACCGGGCGGGGGTGAGTGAACACGGCCTGCGCACATTCTGGTCTTCCAAGACTGTGGGCAGCTGGGGGGATTTCTGCATTCTTAGTGGAAGGTCCTCCCCTGGGTGGCAAGCAGACTCCACCCTCCTCGCAGCAACGTCTCCACCCAGTACCTGCGTTACCTAGGCAACTGGCACACCTGAAGAGGTCACATCTGCATCCGCTGAGGTCACACCTGACTTTGATGTGGCCACACCTTTCTCCTCCCATGCCCTAGAGAAGGCCTAGCCCAGGCCCAGAAGCTCTTTCCCAGCTGCGGAGGGCCAGCTGGGCCTGGTGGCAGCCAGAACGATGAATAAACCTACCCCTTACCTGAATACCACGTGCGTGGTGTGGTTCTTACTCGGCTACCTCTTTTTAAAAACCTAACATAAATGGCGCTGTTGAAACCAGGGAAGGGCTTAAAGTCAGGATAAGTGGGATTTCTCTCCCTTTTCTTTTCTTTTTTTCCCTTTTTTGCTCTGAGGAATACCCACAGTTCTGACGGCCTTTTGCGAACCTGTCTGTCTGCTGCGGACACAGCGCATCGACACCATTGCTGCCTTCACATCCACGTCCACACCACTTCTCTACTCTAGTGAGTGAAACTACTCTCTACGGCTCTCTGTTGCTCAGTCTCTGTCCAGACGTGGCGCCACGCCAGAGAGCTCCTACGGCCTTTAGCCGAAAGGCCGGTCACCTCTGAAGCCGAGGACGCTTGGTTTTGGGGGCTTGGCCGTTTCTCTCTAGAGGGCTCTGGGGGAAGTCGGGACGCCGCTTCTGCCTGGTCAGCTCTCCTTCACTCACCAGACTGACTCTCCTACACATTTAATGGGGTGCTACGAATCACGCCCGAGCGGTGAAACCCCTTTGAAATGCCTCCTGTGCTCCCTGGAAAGCCAGAGCGCCTCATTTTTATGCCATTCTCAGATGTAGACAGGTTTTGCCGCTGCAATGGTAACTGGTCGGAAGTCTGTTTACTTTCAGGCTCTCTTTGCTCTCTCTCTGTCAATCATGTCCAACTTTCCCTCTCTCTCCCTTTCTCTTTTCTACAACATTTCGGCTTGTGCCCTGAAGAGTGTGACGCAGGCTGGGTCCCGGGGACTCCCTTCTAGGTTCCCGCTCAAAGGCTAGCCATTTTAGGTTTGAAAATTGTCCGAGTTTCCATTTGTTTAGGTTTTCTTTGCGTTTTTTCAGAAATTTGCCATCTTGGCCACATGGTGGGTTAAGGATTGGGTCTCATCTGACTCTTAACCTTCCACCGAGCTTACTACTCCACCTATTTCTGTGGCCTCCCATGCGAGGCCCCCTCCCCTGCGGGACCCCTCCCCTGCCTTTGGAGTGGGGGTGGAGGCTGAAGCTCCATGTGTGCTAGAACGCTCACTGTCAAAATCTTTAGCTCTGTCTAGCACTGGCCATGTGGCTGATGCGCCATCTTGGCATCATGGGAATTCAGTTGCTATTTTGTCGCAACTCAATCTCGTGCCGACCTCAACTTGACTCTGTGTGCACACCTATACATCTATGTCTGTGTCTGTGTAAACTTGTTATCTGGCATTGTAATCAAGTTATTTGGCTTAAATTATCTGAGATTCCTGAAGTTTGTTCAGTTTGGGGAGGTAGTTCAGTGCCAGCCAGTCTACATGCAGTCCAGATCCAGTCTCTTCCAACCTGGAAGACAGGCCTCGCGCCTGCCTAGACTATCCTGACTACCTCCACCATGGTAAAAGCAGACTGGAGTCTCGCTTGGCTCCATCACATGCAGCTGATTTCCTGGTAAAAGATTGCTTTGGATTTGTAAAAGCTAAGGCTCTTTCTGTAACTTTGGTGCACTGGCCCATCCCTCACGCTAAGGGAGTGTCAGCATGAAACTAGTTCACACCAGACCCTGCACTGTCTTCTCACAGTGGTACCAAGGAACCATAGCTGCCCTGATATAGCCAACTTTTCGTGTGTGTCGTCTGTGTTTCCACGCCACCGGCCCTTCCCTCCCTGCCCCCAGCCCAGTGCAAGACAGGAAGATCCTCTCCTCTCCCGGCCTAGAGAGACAAGTCCTGTGCAGCTCAGAGACGGCTCAGCCCTCGGGAGCTTGACAGGGAAGGAGGTGGGGCCTGCGAGTTACCGATTTCCCGTGGATTGGGCCAGGCCACCGGCTGGTGTGAAGACAGCGTGGAGAAGAGGGTGTCACTGAATTCTGACATGAGCATGTCGGTGTCCAGAAGCGGATCCTCCTCCATGGGGACTGGGGTCTTCCAGCCATCCCCGCGTTTGTGCCAGTACAGCACGTCGTCATCCTGCCACCCAGAGGAGCGAGTGTCAAAGAGCAGCACCAGGGGCGGAGACTCGGATGGCACACACACACACATGCACGCGCACACACACATGCACGCACGCACGCACGCACATGCACACATGACGCGTCCATGCCAGGAGGGAGCTGGTGCCAACTCTGCCTCTGGAGTCGTGTCCGCCCCTCCGTGGCCTGTCACAGCAGGGCCCCCGGCTCCCTCACCTGGGCCAGGCTGGAGAGGTCCTCATCCTTGTGCTGCTGTAGCTGTGGGCGAGGAAGCAGGCCGAGGCGGTCACGAAGGGCTCTGGGAATCGAGGGCCCGGCCTGGCTCACCTCCCTGCACACGCGTGGACTCCCTGGAAGAACCTAGGCCCAACATAGCCAGGAAGCAGCTGGGGAGACGGACCCGGGAGGTGGGGGCAGAGGACATTCTCATCCAGGGTCGAGGTAAAAAAGAGGCCTGTTCACAGATGGGAAGACTGAGCCCCGGTCCCAGCTTTTCCTCACAAAGCCCCAGGCCGCGTGGGACAGCTGTGGGCGAGACCTTGGCCGGCGTCTGAATGTGGTCTCTTCTTCCTCTCTAGGGATCACCAGTCATACCCTTTCTTTTTCCTTTTTCTGTTTGCTGGTTCTGGGGCTTGAACTCATGGCCTGGGCGCTGTCCCTGAGCTTCTTTTGCTCAAGGCCAGCACTCTTCCACATGAGCCACAGCGCCACTTCCAGCTTTCATACCCTTTTCTTGAAGTAGGTTCTCCACTTGTGGTACTCCAAGATCACGATCTCAATGCGGCTTTTCCAGTACTTGCCCTCGGTGGTGATGGCCTGGAAGTGGGAATGGACAGGTGTCTTGGATGACCAGCCAAACTCCACCCGCGAACACAGAACCGCAGGATACTCCAAGCGGCCTCGGACGACCGAGCTGCTCAGGATTCCCCCCCCCCCAACTCCCTTCTCTTCTGGGTTCTAATCAGCCCTCTGGTGTTTTCAAGACTCAGGACATTCAAGGGAGGCTCTGTACCCCAGGTCCTGAGGCTCCACACCGGGGCCCAGGGTCAGTCAAGGACGCACAGGCAGGGGAGGGGGGAGGGAGCTGCTGCTCCCTGTGTGAGGAAGGCTAAGGAAACAGGCAGCCCGCAAGTGCTCCCGAGGCAGCCTCTGTCATGTCTGAATGAAAACGAACAGGAAGCCAGGTGCTGGGGCTCCCGCCTGCCATCCTAGCTAGTCAGAAGGCTGAGATCTGAGGATCGCAGTTCAGCCAGCCCGGGGAAGGAAAGTCCCTGAGACTCTTATCTCCAATAAACCACTAGAAAACCAGAGGTGGCGCTGTGGCTCAAGAACACTAGCCTTGAGCTGAAGAGCTGAGGGACAGCGCCCAGCCCAGAGTTCAAGCCCCACGACCGACCCCAAAAAAAAAAGAACAGGAGATGACAGACACTTCAGCCAGAGCACGGTGTTCTCTTCCCTAGAGCATCGAATCCCCCCACCTTGTAACTCATGAAGAACCCCTTCCCCAGCAGCCCTCAGGACGCATGACGCAGCACTACCCCGCCTCAGACCTTAGGTCTCAAACCACCTGCAACCACTTAGTCATGAGTCTGAAATAATAAAAGATATAACAAATAAACAAATAGGATTACAAAACTGGACACCAGGAGACATCATGTCTGTAATCCTGCTACTTGAGAGGCTGAGATGAGGAGGATCCCAGTTCGAGGCCAGCCCAGGCAGAAAGTCGGTAAGAATCCCTATCATTGGAAGAAGCTGGGCCTGCTAGTGAGTGCCTGTCATCCCAGCTCTGACAGGAAGTGAAAACTAGAGGACTGTAGTCCAGACATGTGCATGGGAAAGAAGCAAGACCCAATCTTGTAAGTTCAAGGCCAGCCTGGGCTATAAAACAAGACCCTTCTCCATTAAAAAAAAAAAATCACACCACATAGATGACATGTATTTACATAATCAGCTGTACATGTAAAATGCTACCAAGCAGCCAGGGCAAACAGCTGGGAACCCAGCCCTAGGGAGGCAGGGGCAGGAGGATCTCAAGTTGTGAGGCCAGCCTGAGTACACAGGAAGACCTTGTCCCAAAAAAACTCCCTGTCAAAAAGAATAAACACAGAAAACAAAACAAAACAGGGCTGCAAGATTACCACCAGACTGAATAATATTTGCAATTCCAGAAAACACCACACTTCCAGAACTCTTTTTATTATATTAAGTTTGTTTTCGGGCTGGGAATATGGCTTAGTGCTTGCCTAGCATGCATGAAGTCCTGGGTTCAATTCCTCAATACCACATAAACAGAAAAGGCCAAAAATGGCACTGTGGTTCAAGTGGTAAGGCTCAGGGACAGTGTCCAGGCCCTGAGTTCAAACCCCAGGACTGCTTGCTTGTTTTCATCCTAACAGTAAGACATGCTTAGGTAAAACTAAAACAAGGCAGAAGTCAGGCTAAGCTAACCTGGGCTTTTAAAGCAAGAGCCTACCTCAACAATAACCAACACAATGGCCAGGCACTGGTGGCTCACGCCTGTAATCCTAGCTACTCAGGAGGCTGAGTCTGAGGATCACGGTTCAAAGCCAGCCTGGGCAAGAAAGTCTGTAAGACTTTTTTGTTGTTGTTGCCAGTCTTGGGCCTACTGAGCGCCGTCCCTGAGCTTCTTTTGCTCAAGTCTGGTGCCCGACCACTTGAGCCACAGCGCCACTTCCAGCTTTTTCTGTGTATGTGGTACTGAGGCATCGGACCCAGGGCTTCATGCATGCTAGACCAGCACTCTACCATTGAGCCACCTTCCTAGTCCTCTGTGAGACGCTTATCTCCAATGAACCACCAGAAAAACAGAAGTGGCGCTGTGGCTCAAGTGGTCGACAAACACACACACACACACACACACACAAAGGGTGGAGCGTCTGTCTCATATAGCAGAACACCTGTCTAGCAAGCACAAGGCCCTGCAAAATAGACCACCGAAATAAACAGAGTAAGTGATGAAGTTATTGTACAATTGGCTTTTGAAAACATTACTCTTTCAGGAATGGGATATGACTCAGTGATAGAACACTTGCCTAGCCTGTGAGAGACTCCAGCTCCATCCCTAAACCAGAAAGAAAGAAAGAAAGAAAGAAAGAAAGAAAGAAAGAAAGAAAGGAAGGAAAGAGAGAGAGAAAGGAAAGAGAGAGAGAAAGGAAGGAAGGAAGGAGAGAGAGAAAAAAAAGGGGGGCGGGAGAGGGAGAGAGAAAGGGGGAGGGAGAGAAGGAGAGAGAGGGGAGAAAGAGAAAGAGAAGGAAAGAAAGAAGGAAGGAAGGAAGGAAGAGTCAGAAAGAAAGAGAGGAAGGGAAGGGAAAGGAAGGGGAGAGAAAGGAAAGGAACAGGATTCTAGCTTCCTGGGAGGCTGAGATCAGTGGGATTGTGGTTCCAGGCCAGCCTGGGCAAAAAGCAAGATCCTGTCGCAAAAATAACCAGAGCAAATAGGGCTGAAGATGCCATGAGGAAAGTACCTAGCATGCTCACAGCCCTGAGTTCAAGTCTAAGCATCCCCAAATAAATAAGATATATGCATGCAGACACACAGAAAAGCAAACCAACAGATGAGAATGTTCTCTTTCCTCAACCTCTTTTCATCCCCTTGCTATGGTCTTACTGCTTAGTGAGGAGTCAGCCATCCAGAAGAAATAGGGATTTTGGGCTGGGAAGGTGGCTCAGTGGTAGAGCACTTGCCTTGCATGCCTGAGGCCCTGGGTTCGATTCCTCAGTACCACATAAGAAAAAAGAAAAAACCCGGAAGTGGCACTGTGACTCAAGTGGTAGAGAGCTAGCCTTGAGCTGAAGAGCTGAGGGACAGCGCCCAGGCCCCACGACGGACCCCCCCCCCCAAAAAAAGAAGAAGAAATAGGGATTTTAAAGGAAGTCCGGGGGCAAGTCCCCAGAATCCAACTTTCCCAGCATGCCTCCATCACCTCCCAGGTACCTCTGGCCGGCGGTGCTCGTCCACGTCGACGGAACTGTCTAGCGGGGTGACGAAGTGGCACACCGGATTCTTGCGCTTCTCCAGATCTGGGCAGAGGGATGTGAGACATCGCTGCACCAAGCCCCCGGAGGAGCCCCGCCCATCCACCCCGTGCTTCCCTTCATGCAGCACCTTCGGGAGAGTTTTTCCCTTCTGCTTCCCCGGGAGAGCTGGAGGCTTCCGAGAAATAAAGTTTCTGACAATGATGTGTGAGCAAGAGTCTGCTCTTCAAGAGGCGCCATCGGGCCCAGCCAGCTCAGCTCCCGAACAAGCCTGCGTCCCCCACTGGGGACAGGAGGGTATGCATCTTCCCAGATCTACGCTCGGACTTCCCGTGTCGCCTCTCCAGCTCCCCTGAGAGTAGCCTCCTCCGGACCCAGCCTGCTACTGAGCACCCTCCACCATGAGACCTCCCTCTCTCTACACTGGTCTCTCTTGACTAGCTAGCTGTGCCTGATGACTCTGCGCACCCCTGGGGCTTGGCTTGGTTTTCTCAACTCCACAGACTACCTGAGAGACTTCTACTGAAAAGGCAAGGTGCCAAGAGCAGGCTCCGCCCCCTGGGGGCTCAGGCCCGGGGGAGCTCCCACCCCACAGCAGCAGGGGTCCTGCAGCCACGCTGCCTCCCAGGGTGGCGATGCACGTACACTGCATGTACCACGCCCGCCAGATGGCGTTGTTGAGCCGAATCTTGTCTCTCCATTGAAGCTTCAGACCCTTGAAATTCTTCCACTTTGGAGACACCAACTTCCCACTGAAAACAAAACACACGGAGGAGACTCAGTCATTTCTTGGAAAATGAAATACAATGTAAAGGTTTGGCTAGAGCTAGGTGCTGTGGCTCACACCTGTAATCCTAGCTACTCAGGAGGCTGAGATCTGAGGCTCACGGTTCAAAGCCAGCCCAGGCAGGAAAAATCTGTGAGACTCTTGTCTCCAATAAACCACCAGAAAACCGGAAGTGGCACTGTGGCTCAAGTGGTAGAGCGCTCGCCTTGAGCTGAAGAACGCAGGGACAGCGCCCAAGCCCAGAATTCAAGCCCCATGACAGACAGACACACACACACACACACAGAAATGGGTAATGGTTAAGATGATGGTTGTGGTGATTCTGGAGAATTACAGGTGTGGTAGAAATAAGTTTTCACTGTTTGCCATTTTGGAGTGTTTAACATAGGAATTTATTATGTTTCAAAATAAACAAGGAAAAACTCCAAGTACAGTCCAAGACCTTACAGGTTTTCAAGTTAATTGGGGAAGGTAATTAGCCCCACAAACAGATACAAACTTGTGAGTCAATCCTCTGTGCAGACCCAGCAAGGCAGGTGAGGGTAATTAAGCGCTGCCGTTAATGAGTGAGAGGAGAGAGAATGTTCAGCGTCCACTCTCCTCTAGGATTTCAATTCTTTTTCTTCAAACAGCTGTTTCTGTGGGCTTGTCCTGGACCTGGGCCTGGTCCCACAGCTGCGACAGCCAAAACTAGCAGGCCGCAGCAGGACAAGGGTTCACGGAGAACTGGGGCAGGAGCAGCCACCGCAGCGCAGGGCAGGAGGAGAGCCACGTGTGCGCAGGAATCGCCCTGGCACTTTGTGGCCACCTGCCAAGTAGAGGAGCCAGCGGCTGAGGCGGCCAGGGAGGCTTCTGCAGGCCGGGCCTCGCGCCTGTGCTTCAAGCTCCTCCTCCGCTGCGGGCCAGGAGTCTTTTTTATTTTGACCTCCACAGGAAGTGCTGTGAAGCAGCAGTGCAGGAGGCGCCGCTCTACCACTGAGCCACCTTCCCAGCCCTGTGTAACATTTTAAAATAACTCTTAGAAAGTGAAGTCAGCAAAGCAAAAGCAGATCGTCCAGTGAAGCTGTCCACATTTTATGGTACTCAATACAGCCCTGCCCCGCTGATAAGGCCCCAGACACAGGAGAGCTTTCCCAGCACTCAGTACTGTGAATGACCAACTTCACCCAAGAATACTTTCCCTAGCACCTTCTCCTGTGTGTACAGGCAGCTCAAAACCCAGATAAGACTGCATAAAGAATGAAAAGCCTCCCTGCGATCGATCACAGGGCGGGAATGTATAGACAGAGAGGAAGGGGATCTACAGACAGTTCCCAGCCAGAGCCGACGCGGAGGTGAGGCCTGGGGAAACCAGCTGCCCGAGCTGTCACAGAAATAGTCCTACTTGCCAATGTTCCTGCGTTCCTATGAAGCCAGGCAAGAAACGACGGTGTCAGTATCGCCATCATTAGTCATTCTGGAGGCCCTGCCAACTGCATAACCTACTTAAAAGCCAGGGAACCTGAAGCTGGCTGACGCGTCTCAAAGGATAAGGTAACACTCTTCAGCTCGCCAAGACCTAGAAATAGGCTTCCATGGCTTTTCCCTTTTTGGATGCACAAGAATTCAGTTCTCCGGGGGCTGGGAAGGTGGCTCAGTGGTAGAGCGCTTGCCTAGCATGCAGGAAGCCCTGGGTTCCATTCCTCGGCACCACATACACAGAAAAAGCTGGAAGTGGCGCTGTGGCTCAAGTGGTAGAGTGCTCGCCTCGAGCACTCTCAGGGACAGTGCCCAGGCCCTGAGTTCAACCCCCAGGACTGGGGGGAAAAAATTGTCCTCCCTTCTCCATAGATGACTTCCTGAGTGTGCTCCTGAATACCAGCTTCCATTCTCTACTTCATTTTCCTTTTTATCAAACTTAAAAACAACAGTGAAAGATAAGGTGAAGTTTCAGTTTATTGTCATATTTTAACTTTGGTATATTGGTACTTTTAATCTGAGCTCTACCACTTGAGCCACAGCTCCACTTTTGGTTTTGGGGGGTTAATTGGACATAAGAGTCTCACAGACTTTCCTGCCCAGGCTGGTTTGAAACATAATCCTCAGATCACAATCCCAACTCCCTGAGTAGCTGGGATTACAGGAGTGAGCCACCAGCACTAGTGCTTTTCATCTTAACAGTTAATGCGAATGCATGAAGAGGAATATTTTTTATACCTGCATTAGAGGACAAGCACATGTCAAAAACCAAAAGTGGCGCTGTGGCTCAAGTGGTAGAGCATTAGCCTTGAGCACAAAGAAGCTCAGGGACAGTGCCAAAACCCTGAGTTCAAGCTCCACAAGCAACAACAACAACAACAAAATTAAAAGATCAAGCTAGGCACCAGTGGCTCCTGGTAGCTCATGCCTATAATCTTAGCTACTCAGGAGGCTAAGATCTGAGGACTGTGATTCAAAGCCAGCCCAGGCAGAAAAGTTCACGAGACTCTTATCTCCAATTAACCATCAAAAAGTCATAAATGGAGCTGTGGTTCAAGTGGTAGAGTGCTATCCTTGAGCACAAAAGCTCAGGGACAGCACCCAGGCTCTGAGTTCAAGTCTCAGGACTGGTACAAAAAAACAAAATTCATATGAAGGTAATTAAAGACCAGCCTCGGGCTGGGAAGGTGGCTCAGTGGTAGAGTGCTTGCCTTACATGCATGAGGCCATGGGTTCAATTCCTCAGCACCATGTAAGCAGAAAAAGCCGGGAGTGGCGCTGTGGCTCAAGTGGTAGAGCACTGGCCTTGAGCTGAGGAGCTGAGGGACAGCACCCAGGCCCAGAGTTCAGGCCCCATGACTGAAAAAAAAAAAAAAAAAAACAGCCTCAAGGATTCCTGGCATGCACATTGTGACAGGAGGAAGGCAAGCTGGGAGAGAGGGCCTTGTGAACAAACATAAAAACCAACCATTTGGACTGGTTTTTATGTGGAGTGCTCGCCTAGCATGCGTGAAGCCCTGGGTTCCATTCCTCAGCACTACATACACAGAAAAAACCAGAAGTGGCATTATGGCTCAAGTGGTAGAGTGCTAGCGTTGAGCAAAAGAACCTTAAGGACAGCGCCCAGGCCCTGAGTTCAAGCCCCAGGACTGGCACAAAAGTCAAAGTCAACCCATTTAACAGATTTCTTGACCGCGTGAGTTTCAGCATCTCATGGAGTTGAAGGACCAGTTGGGCTCTCTGGGGAAGAGGAAGGAGAGCTGGCTCCTCATAATTACTGAACTGTGGCCACAGGCGAAAAGGGAAGAGTGTCACAGTGCTCCGGGCTGCAGCCTGCAGCTGGGGAAAACAGCTGGCCTTTCTGAACTTCATTTTCTTTCTTGTCAGTTGTGGAGCTTGAACTCAGGGCCTAGGCACTGTTCCTGAGCTTTTTTCTCTCAAGACTAGCATGTACCACTTTGAGCCATGGTGTCACTCCCAGTTTTCTGGTGGTTAGTTGGAGATAAGAGTCTCATGGACTTTCCTGCCTGGGCTGGCTTCCAACTGCTATCTTCAGCTCTCAGGCTCCTGAGTAGCTGGGATTACAGGCGGGTGCCACTGGTACCCAGCTTGAACTTCATTTTCTTTGGGAAAAAGAAACTGATTTTCACAGAACTATGAGAAGACAAAATGAAGTTGGTGGTTAGACAAGACTTGCTTTCTGTCCTGAAGACAGGGGTGTCTCAAGGAATGGATTTGCCCAGAAAATGTTTTCCATAATGTCCTGAACTGTTAGTGCACAGCCACAGCCCGCAGAGCGGGACCACCCGAGAGCGTGGTCCCTCTGTGGGCACTCACTCTCCACCACAGAAGCATGGCCGTGTGGCGGGAGCCTTGCCCCACTCTGTCGAAGGCCCTGAAGGTGGGGGTTCTCAGTGCCTACGCCCCAGCAGCTGCCCTGGCTCCCCTGGCTAGAAATCCTGCTGCAAGCTGGACTCCGTGACCCGCAGCCCAGCACCAGGTCCATGCTGGGTGGGGGGAGGGAGGAGGCCCAGACGCTGCTCACTGGTGGGCGTGCCAGACCACTCGCCAGGCTGCAGACCGCTCCCTGGACTTAATGAAGAGATGAGGTCTCATCTTGCTGTTCCCCCCCACAGGAAGCGAGTCTCCATAGCCAGGAAAGATCCCAATTCCAAGCCCCGGCCTCAGCCTCGCAGCGGCTGGGAGGGACAGAACACCTTTCAGAGTGAGCAAATGAGCCCAGGGTGTCAGCAGAGTCTCCCAGCCTGGGCAGGAGCTCCCTCCCTCCTCCCTCCTTCCTTTCAGTCCCTATCACTGCCATAGCTGGGTCCTTCTCTTTGAAGACAGAGGAGTTATGGTAACACTCCTGACTGCAGGGAGCCAAGGGGCAAAGACTACACCTGGCCGTGGGGTCCCCAGGCCAGTGAGACCAAGTAGCAAGCCAAGGTCTTGGGAAAAGAGAGCACTATGGGAAAATCGGCTCATCCACACCGCACATTTAGGCAAAGGGTAGGAAATTTTCTGAATCCATAATCCAAAAAGGTGATGGAGGCGGGAGGAAGAGTTCACCTGTTACCTTAGCATTTGAAGTGAAGCAGCGTTCAAAAGTGCAGAGTGGGGGCTGGGAAGGTGGCTCAGTGGTAGAGCGCCTGCCTTGCATGCCAGAGGCCCTGGGTTCGATTCCTCAGCACCACATAAGCAAAATGAAAAAAGCCGGAAGTGGCACTGTGGCTCAAGTGGTAGAGTGCTAGCCTTGAGCTGAAGAGCTGAGGGACAGCGCCCAGACCCAGAGTTCAGGCCCCATGACTGGACCCCCCCCAAAAAAAAAAGTGCAGAGTGTGAGAGGAAGGGGGTAATTCCTACAAAGGAGCTGTTGGTACTCTGTGGCGGTGGCTCAGGCCTCTGTAATGCTAGCTAGTCAGGAGGCTGAGATCTGAGGATCTTAGTTTAAAGCTAGCCTGGGCAGGCAAGTCCATGAAATGCTTATCTCCAATGAACTACAAAAAA